CTTCATTTCCCAGTTTTTCTGTCAGTAAATCCTTGAGTCCATTATTCCTCTCAGAAAAAGACAATTCCAGTCCCATGGTCCAGCAGTTGTTATCCTTCCTTGACTATGTAAGCTGATTAAAATACCATTTGATTACATTGTACAGTATCCTGCTGCTCCAAAAATACCTTTTTGAGTATGTATTTCAATATAGTTTACTTTTTTGTATTGCAAATTAACTTTTGATGTCATGTGATATTTTCCATGATATTTAATGTATTATAGAAACTCTCAGGAGAAAGTTTATGTGAGTTATGGCTCTTGGCTAGTATATATTTGGAACATCTGGCAATCGGTAAGGCAAAAGAGGCAGCTCAGATTTTTTTTTTTATACAAGTTTATTGTTGTCATATGTCTAAACAGTCACTGTGTGCATTGCAAAGTGCTATTGCAACAATGTGCATTCTCAGGTAAGATAGTTCTCAACTCATTAGGAGGAAGAGATTAGTTGCCAGTGGAGGGGAAAAAAAAAAAATTATTTACAGATGAAACTAAGAAATCACAGAATTGTAGCCATTGGAAGGAACCTCCAGAGATCATTTCAAATGATAGAAGGTCTGATACTTGAGGGGTTTAAACTCTAAATTCCACTTAAATAAGAATCAACTGATGAGGTGGCTGGCAAAACCTCATTCACGCTCTATTAAGAACTCAGTAAAGGATAGTGAAACTTCTTGGAGATTACTTGTAAAATCTTTGAAATTAAATTGAAGTGAAAATTTGTCTAGAATATTTAAGGACTATTTGAAACTTTCTCAAAACACTATTGAGATAATCTATGAGAACTTGCTCTGGTCTCCACAGTACAAGAGAACCATGGATATACCAAAGAGAGTTCACTGAAGGGCCACAAAGATTAGGAAGTGATTGGAGACTCCCTCCTATGAGGAAAGGCTGAGAGAGCTGAGAATGTTCAGTCTCAAGAAGATGAGCTTGAAGAGTATCTCAGCAATTCCTAAAAATAACTGAATGAAGGCTTTAAAGAAGATAGAGCCATACTCTTATCACTGGTGCCTGGTAACAGGGCAAGAGGCAATGGGCTCAAGCTGAACCACAGAGGATATCAGGAAACACTTTTTCTCTGTGAGGGTTGCGTAAAATTGAGATATTAAGGAATCTTCCTCCTTGGAGCTATTGCAAAGCTATCTGGACATGGTCCTGGGTAACCTAGCTTGTTTCTGCCTAAGCATAGGTGTTAGAACAGATAACCCTCGGAGGTCCCTTCCTGATTTGACCAATGCTGTGATTCTGTGAAATTATGGAAAACATGTGCATTCCAGGAGAATCTGAAAAGACAAAAAATATTAGTTTCTAAAGGGATGGGGAGGAGAAGAAACAAAGGAGGGAATTATGGGTCACAATTTGAGTTCCTAAAAGAATGTATATGCACGTGAATATAGATACTAAAATATAACTATATTCGTATATACGTATATGAAACAGATGTCACCATCACCATCAAAACTACATTGATTTTTGAAGACTCAAGATTGTAACTAGCACTCAGCAAAAATATTTCAAGAAGAAATTATATCAAAGCAACCTAAACAGATCTTAGCAAAAGGTGCGGAAGAAGTAGAAAGCATCAGCACGGGATCAATAAAGATAAACATTGTTTATAAAATGATAGTACTCAAAGTAAAAACAATTAAAAAAAATGTTCTGCTTCTCATTGAGAATAGGACAGGAAGAAATGGGTTTAAATGACAGCAAGAAAACTTGGGTTGGCAAGTGGAAGAAATCTTTCCAACTACAGGCATAGCAAAGCTCTAATGTATACTGCCAAGAGATAATGTGAGAACTTCTGTCGCTCAAAGTTTTCAAGACCTGGTGAAACTATAGAATAGTCAAGAATAGTTTAGGCATGGCTGATCTTGCCTGTGGGCTGCTATATGGATTAGATGATCTCCTGGGACCCTATTTATTATGATTTCTGTAGTTCCCAGGTAAACATAATTCTTTTGACTCAAATTCAATTCACATCTAGAAAATTATGTGAAGCATTTCAAGAACAAAATTAAAATAAAAAAAAAAAAACTTACACAACATAATCATTGTATGTGATGTTATGATTTTGCAGACTACTGAAAACTGACTTTCGTAATAAAGGAGGGATGGAGCATGTCCAAATGAAGACATAGCTGTATGACAAACTTTTTCTTCTATGTCCTCAACTGACTACAGTTATGTTTCACAGCACATTTAGTTACTTGCCTTTTCCACCATTTAAACTCGGGGAAAAAAAATCTTGTAACATCTTGTCCGTAATTGAAGCATTCACATAAGGTACATAAATTAGGGCATAGTTACTGTTCATCTTTTTTGACTCAATAAGAGTGAAAGACTCTCTGTGCAGCTCCAGAATATTTGACTTACACTCATTTTGGGGAGGGAGTGTAGGTGGGCAAGTCCCTCATTCAAGCACATCAGTTAAGTCTCTGAAGCTTGCAATGATGAATGTTAAGGTCTAGGCCAGGTTAGCCACCGAAGTCAAGAGAGTTGAATCCAGGCTAACTCCTCAACACTTCACTCGTCACCCAGGATAACTGCAGTCTGTAGATCAATTGGAAATTCAACAGAATAGTACAAAGGTTCTCTCATAACAATACACCCTCAAAACCACTCTCTTGTCTCCCTACTCTTAGAAATGTGTAAAAGGTGGTCTCCAGCAGGAAAGAGAAAGCTTTAAAAATATTGAGAGTTCTATATAGCCACAATGAGATTTGAGGTTGCAGCGTGTGGGGAAAGTTACTGGAACTTCTATGATCCCTACAACAGTTGGATTGTTTTTCTTCGTGAATTTCTTTCTATTCAAGAATTCTGAATCCCTAAGGCTGATCCTATTGTTTCCTTCTTTGCAGAAAAAGGAGCAGTGTGCAGAGGTTCAGTTCTCTTACGTGTACAGTTCTCAGAGGGGATCCAGACCCTGTAGCAGGAAGCACTGAATGCTGTGCAATCTTGTGAAAGTTGCAGTCTTCTTTTGTAGAATCCAGAGCTGAGGAAATTTCAGGCTCTGTTTGGATATTCAGCTGACAACTTGAACACCTACTTGAAATGAAATGAACTTCAAAAGCTGCTGGGGATCAGGGATCATTATGGGTGAAGCCTGAAAAAGAGAGATAATTATAAATTAGTGTGTGCATATATTCACATATCTATGTGGGTAGAGACAAACATGGTTATTTGCTAGAGTGTGTGGCATTGCTAACTGTGAAGTATAGGCAGGTGAGTTCAGTTTTACTTGAGGTCAAATATATCCCATGCCTTCTCCATTCTAGAGCAATTCAATCATTAATGATTGCTAGAGATCAGTTTCAATTGACTGTGCTCTGTAGCATATGCTTGTACCATATGCATTTTAAAAGATTACTAAGGAAAAAAAAAAATCAACCAACAACAAAAACAAACCAAACCACAAGCAAACAAACAAAAAAGCAACAAAAAACCCCAAACAATTAGCCCCCCAACAACAACAGCAACAATAAAATCTAGAAAGAATTAATAACAACCGTTGCAGTGTTTGAATAGTAGAGTTTCTCACAGTGAACATATTATAGTGTCTGAAGGAATCCTAGACAGGCAGCTCTGCATCAAGCAAAGTTTATTAATTTCCAGTGCAACACTAAAGTTAATGTAACTGCAAATAGAGCTTTTTGTAAGTCTCAGCGTTTCTTGTGATCTGGTGATTTCGTGATATTACACCTTCAAAGTGAGGAAGTAAACTGTGGTAGTATCAGTGGGATCTGAAATCTAATTATTTCAGTCAAGCAACACAAAATAAAACAAAAGTACCAGGTCCTCATCAGAATGAACAAAGATAGTTCAAATTCAGGTACACATCAACATGGGGAATCAAAAGGCTATTAAATAGCTGATAATAATATCTACTGTGTAAACCAGTTTAACGTAATGAAAGCACGGATATTTTCCTTCTCTTTTACCATCTTTTTGTATTGTTTTCCTTCTAATAGAAAATGATTCACAGCTTTCTATTAGAAGGAAGCAAATGTATCCTTAAAAAGAGAAATGGATATTACATCCTTTTTGGGAGGAGTGTAATTTACGTGTATGTTAGGTATTTTAGTTCTGACTGCAGTGCCTTGTGTCTCTCCCTTTACTAATTGTATGATACCCATTTAGACTACACTGATTTTTATTTATTTATTCATTCATTCATTCATTTATTTTTGTGCATTGTGGATTGTAAGTGGATTGCTTACACAGACTGCTATGCAGTTCTCAACTCTACTTTGTAGTTGCAGTTGTAGCTGTAGCTGTACTTGCAGTCACATGGTATCTGCTTTTGACTGCAGAGCGCTTCAGTAATTTGAGAACAGATTAATTCCAGAAATGAGCTGATAAGTGTCCAATTGATGAGAAAGTAAATAAACAAGATCCACTTAAGTTCCTTCGCTTACTCCACTTAGTATGTGCTCAGGTGTCCACATTTGGCTCAAAGAAACATTTTTTCAACTCCACATTTTTGCATAATGGTTCTCTGGTGACAACAGTTGCCAAGCTAGATACACTCTCCTTATGCAAAGGGTTTACTGCTCCATAGCCCACTGGTGAGGAGGAGGCTCTTCAGAAAGAGAAGCTTAAGAGAAAGAATCAAATGGAGGCTTTAGTCTCTTTTTCAATGACATTGAATGTGTCAACTAGAGAAAATGCTGAACTGGAAGGAGAGAATCATTTGGACTGGTTGGTGCCTGGACTTTCCTTTCTGTTGGTTATGAAAACAGAGATATTGAAGGACAGTTAAATAAGATCTTGATATCTAAAATTTTTTAAAGTGCAGCCAGTTCTGAAAGCTGCTCTGCAGCTGAAGTCCAGCATTGGCAGTACCTGAAGGTCACTTTCCCAGCTTGATCATGAGCACCTTGTCTTTAATAGGGTTGGGTACTTAGGCTTTTAAGAAATCCATACCTAATTTCCTTTAAGAAGCACGCACTACCTTTTCCTTTTCTCTCCAAAACAATCAACATTCACAAAGAGTGTCTGAGATCAGGCTCAACAAATGAACTGAGACAAGAGAAGTTCTTCCAGTTTCCTCCGGTAGTTCAGGTTTGTGAAATTACAACAGGATGCAAGCATATGTTTTGAAGCTTCCTCTGTTGAATAGAAATACTTCAGACAACTGAAGCCTTTCCTAGACTTCTATAACTTTAGAGCAAACGTTTTGAGATAAACTGAATAATGTATATTCTCTCTAGACATCATAAACATAGAGTGCAATATATGTATGATATGTATCTCACTTCAACTCTTCCCTCGTAGGAGTTAATGGCAGGTGATATTTAGAAATGGCTCTGATCATCCTGCACAGACTGAAAAAAATGAGCAGGGCTGTGAGGAAGTCACAAAGCATTTTGTATCATCCCTGTAACATTGAGATCACTGTTACATTCTGAGGTAACAAATGACTCTTATGTCTCCACCTTTTTCTTTCACATGTTTTCAGTTTCTTTGCATCCAGCATTGTCGTTTAGATATTCTAAGCCAAGCATGTAATTGAGAAATGATAATTAGAATAGTTCAAAATCATTATAATGGAATTATATTATTATATTATATTATATTATATTATATTATATTATATTATATTATACTGGAATAAGCACTGTATAGTGCTGGGGAAAAGAAATATGAGGGTATTTATCAGGCAAATTAGAAGTATTTGCCACCTACTCTGTTTAACAGAAAACATTTGATAGGGACATTTTAGCCCTCAACTCTTCTTGTAATTGTGACACATAACTGAAAAGGAGAAAAATCTCATAACACAAGCTTATCTGTGTGACATTGTGACAGTTCAAAGTATTTAAGGGTAACACATGATGTAACTTCTGACCAAAAAAAAAAAAAAAAGAATTAATGAGAATACTGCTCCCAAGATGACTTGGGCTTTGGCTTCATTTCACTTTCATTTCAGTTTCAGGTCTGTATTCATTAACCAAGGATAGCAGCTCTATAGGCAGCCAATGTAACTGTACAAATAATTCTATTTGTTCATTTGTTCATTTATTTATTTTACTGAATGTATTATGTAGCTCAACTATTGAATATACGGCAGTAGGTTTTAACAATGTAAGCTCAGAGTAAGTGGCTGTTTAGTTTGTGTGAGTGTCAGAGAGAACTGCACATCTATTACAAATCAGAGTTTTCCCTAAGGATAAACAACCCTGTGTTGGCTCCAGTTCATAATCTTCTGCAGTAATATTTCCTGTCCACTTGGCTTCAGTGGAATATTTTCTCTCACTGTTTTGGGTACTGTGGAATAGAGAAATCTACATATTTTTGCAGGCTGGATTCAGACACACTAAGTTTTGCCCGGTACCATTGTGACTGAGTGGAAAGATACCTACAACTAAATCTATCACTACATAACCTCTCATAGCTCTCTTGGAAAGAGTCCAGCGGAGGGCCACGAAGATGGTGAAGGGCCTGGAGCATCTCTGCTATGAGGAAAGGCTGAGTGAACTGGGTCTGTTCAGCCTTGAGAAAAGGAGACTGAGAGGGGACCTGATCCAGGTCTATAAATATCTAAGGTGTGGGGGGCAGAATGGTGAGGCTGGGCTCTTTTCAGTGGTGAGTGGAGACAGGACAAGGGGAAACGGCCGGAAACTGCAGCATAGGAAGTTCCGCACAAATGTGCGCAAGAACTTCTTTACAGTGAGGTGACGGAGCACTGGAACAGGCTGCTCAGGGAGGTGGTGGAGTCTCCTTCCCTGGAGATGTTCAAGACCTGCCTGGATGCCTACCTGTGCGACCTGGTGTAGGGAACCTGCTTTGGCAGGGGGGTTGGACTCGATGATCTCTGGAGGTCCCTTCCAACCCCTACAATTCTGTGATTCTGTGATTCTGTGATAACCCAGGCTTACAAAATTTTAAAAACTCTTCCAATTAAAAAGCAGCATACTAAATTAATGTTAATGATTAAAGAAATAATCCTGATCAAATGATTTATACAAAGGAAGAACTAGAAATGAGAAAATCATAGAATCAGGTCGCTCAGATTGGAAAAGACTGTCAAGTCCAACCACAACCTAACCAAACTACCCTAATTCTAACAACCCTCCACTAAGTCTTGTCCCTGAGCACCACATCCAAATGGTTTTTAAACACATCCAGGGGCGGTGACTCAACCACCTCCCTGGGGAGCCTACTCCAGTGCTTAACAATCCTTTCTGTAAAGAAATTTTTCCTGATATCCAACCTAAACTTACCCTGGTACGACTTGAGGCCATTTCTCCTTGTCCTGCCACCTGTCACCAGTGAGAAGAGACCAGCCCTGCTCTCGCTGTAAGTATCTTTCAGGTATTGGAAGAGAGCAATGAGGTTTCCCTTGAGCCTTCTTTTCCCCAGACTAAACAGCCCCAGTTCTTTTATTCCCTCCTCATATAGTATATTCTCCAAGCCCTTCCCCAGGCTTGTTGCCCTTCTTTAGACCTGCTCCAGCACCTCATTTTTTTTTCTGTATCGAGGTGCCCAAAACTGAGCACAGTACTCAAAGTGTACTCACCAGTGCTGAGTACAGGGGCAGGATTACATCCCTAGTTGTGCTTACCACACCCTTCCTGATACAAGCCAGGATGCCTTTGGCCTTCTTGGCCAACTGGGCATACTGCTGGCTCATATTCAGCTGACTGTCCATCAGTACACAAAGGTCCCTTTCCATCAGACAGCTTTCCAGCCACTCCTCCCCAAGCCACTCCTCCTGTAGGGTTGCCTGGGGTTGTTGTGACCAAAATGCAGTACCTGACACTTGGCCCTATTGAAACTCATACAGTTAACCTTGGCCCATTGATGTAGTTTATCCAGGTTGCTCTGTAGTGCCCTTCTCACCTCAGGCAGATCCACACTCCCTCCCAATTTGATTTCATCTGCAAACTTACAGACAGTGCACTCAATCCCCTCGTCCAGATCATTAATAAAGATGTTAAATAGAAGCAGCTCCAGTACCTGGCCCCGGGGGACAGTGCTAGTGAGTGGCTGCCAACTGGATTTAACTCCACTGACCACAACTCTTTGGGCCCGGTCATCAAGCCAGTGTTTCACCCAGCACAGTATATGCCAATTCAAACTGTGGGAAGCCAGCTTCTCCACAAGAGCGTTGTGGGGGACAGTGTCAAAGGCTTTTCTGAAGTCGAGGTAGTCCACCGACAGCCTTAGCTTCATCCACTAAGCAGGTCACCTTATCATAGAATGAAATCAGGTTTGTCAAACAGAATCTACCATTCATAAACCTATGCTGACTGGGCCTTATCCTCTGGTTGACCTTTAATTAGCCCATGATGGCTTTTGATATTATCCATTCTATAACCTCCCCTGGCACCAAGGTGAGACTGATAGGTCTGTAGCTATCAGGATCATCTTTCTGGCCCTTTTTGAAGATGAGCATCATGTAACAGGTCATGTTGCTAATATTTGCCTGGGTGTTTAGTCTTGTTCAGTTTTTGAACCAATGCTCTTCAAGAAAATTGAGAAATGTGATTTCTGAGAGAGGTAAATGAATATATACTTTAAAGAGAATTTAAAAATGAAGAGTGCACAAATATTCAGTTTTTGTTATTTGAACTTGTAATTCATTCAGAAAAAGAATTTGTTGTGTTGTAATACTGAAAGTCAAGAACAGCATGCTTACTGGTCTTCTCCAAATGCAGATTTCTCAGATAAATAAAATATTTTGTTTTTATCTTTTACACATGAAATTTTCATTTACTTTCCAATTGCCTGAGTTGACTGACGATGGTGAAATTACTCAGATATTTTGCAAAGAAATGAAACCATTTGATAACATTATAAAGATCAAATACTCGATCATAGCTCTTAATAGATAAATAGAGAAACACATTAGATTGTTATTAGTGTTATTAATTTTTATGACACTTTGATATATAGCACATACCACCTTGTACTTACATGTATTGATCAGAGGTTTCTGTCCATTTCTTATAAAAGTACCCTAAGACATCAGCAACTGCATGGTTCTGACCATCTTTCCTTAAAAGTATCCCACAACATGGGATAGTGATATAAACGTGATTTCCAAAAAGTAATGGGGATGTTTTGGAAAAGTGAACCTGGATTGTGTGTTGATTAATTAATATCAAAGAGAAACAAACTAAGAAGTAGAAAACAAAGCTTCTTTTATTTAGACAAACCTTGACAAAAAAAAAAAGGAAAAAATTGATAAAGTTTTCTGAAAACCTGGTAATTTTACTCCAAGTATAGTAGATTAATTCAGAGAAAAGATTATTAGACTTAACTAGATAAAGAAAGACAATAGGAATAAATAGGGAGTTTACAAGAACTGTGAAAAGAGGTATCAGCAAAGAAAACTCCACCAGGGAGGTATTACATCTTGCTGAGAATGTCTTAACAAGTAAAAACTTCTACAGCTATATGAAAAGAGCAAGGACAGCAAAAAGGGAGTCAGTATACAATGGGGACATAGTAGAGATTAAAGGTGCCTGGGAATTGCTTTCAAAAAAGGAAAAAAAAAAAAAAAAAAAAAATTCTTTCTTCAGTTTTCAGCAGAATAATGGTGCTTGGCAACGTCTGTCCCACTGAGATCATCTCCACTGACACAAGGGACTTTATTTCCCCTACTATGCAAGGAAAATGAGAGTAGTAATTATATCACAGTTGCTTATTCAAGTTTGTATCTATTTATGGCAACACATTAAGCTTATTTGCATTCAAGTAAATTCAGTTTCACCCAATGTTAACACTCTGGGGTTACTGTCAAAAACTCAGATCTCCTCTGGTTGAGTTATTTTTGTTTGTTTGTTTTCCTTTGCTTGTTAGAATCTCTATATTCAATGCATTTCTTTCGTGTGGATTATTCTTCACTTCTAAATTAGTGAGGGTATTAATCAGCTTTTTTAATTGAATGAGTTTGATTTCCTTGGTTTCATATCCCTTTAAAAGCCAAGTTAAGAAAAAATCAAGCACGCTGCTAATTTGGTGAATTTAAACTTCTCATTTTTCCCTACAGGGAAGTGCAAAGGTGTATGGGAGGACAGAGCTTTCTCTTTGCACTCTGTATGTTTGGCCGTATAAAAGCAAAACCTCCTGAGAGCTGGACTCTACTCTCTCAAGTGTGCATCTCCTCTTGCCAGAAATACTAGCTGACATAATATTAGCAGAGATCATTAGCTATTCTTTTAACTTTTTGTTTCAGATAGATAAAGATTTTTAGGAAAAAAAAAAAATCAGGAAGAAAAAAAAACAGAAAAATAAAACTTTCACCAAAAAAAAAGCAATTACAGCACTGCAGAAAATGTGCCAAATAAAGAAACAAGGAGGATACAAACTTTCATAAATCTTTGTACAGATAGTGTATGTGCATATACTTCATATACATAGGTCATGCTAAAGTAATGCCTTCTATTCATTCCCATGGAAAATACAACAGATGTAAAGAACACAACAACACTATTTGATAAATTCTGAGCTACAGAATGCTGTTTTTCAACATAGTTACTGCCATTAGCTATGTGTTGTCACCAGCGATGAACAAGAGCCTACATGCCACGTTTGTTAAAATCTGCATGGCCATCTAGCTTGTCTTCTGCGTCGCTTTCACATCACTCTTGCCACTGCTGAAATGCACACCCACTGCCTCACTGTGATCATATCCACTGTTTGGTCTCCATAAATGTTCAGCAAACATTGATGAAATGTCAATGGATGCCATTTTTTCCTTATTAATTAGAAAATGGAAGTAATCTCAAATGGTATAAAGCCAGGGAATGTTCTAAAATTTTACAAGATCAGCTTTTTCTTTTGTGTTTCTTTTTCTTAGTTGGTGTTCACAAGATGAGAGAAGGCTATTTAGAGAGAATGACTGTATAATCAGAAAAGGTATGAACTAAAGAGACTTATGATTGAAATTAGAGGATTTCTTTTGAAAATAGCAGGTTTCTGGAAACACAGAGCAATAACAAAACAAACCAAAACCAATATAAATCAAAACACATTCACATACACACACACACAAAGCCCCACCACCTTGAAACAAAATGTTCCCTCCCCTCAAAAAAAAAAGCAAACAAAAAAAGTCAAGAAATAAAATATAAATATACTTCAAGGTAGACTTTACATGGGCTATGAAAGGAATTACATGAAAAGATTGTCTGTGATTGCAGAGAATTCCCCTTAATAACCCAGGCAAGCTTCCCGACTGTATTTTATTAAGAAGCGACTTCTTCAAGGGGTGGATTCAAATGGGACACTACTTCCCATGGGGTTTATTTCATTCACTTTATCTCAGCAGCTCCTCAGTATTATCTGTATCATTTGAGCTTCTGGACAGGGGCTCAGCAAAACAACAAGGAAATTTGTCACAAGATCTGGCATCAAGTCAGATTTCTGAATCAGGTATGCTGCTCTCTTATTTGGTCTACTTTTTGCTTGTTTAAGGCCCAGTTCTTTGCAGAGTTAACTGAGTGCTTAATATGAACTGCAGAAGTCTCTGAAAACCTACAGACTTCAGTGCAATTTGAAATTGAAAGCAGCTTTTTAAGGGTGATACAAGAGCAATTTTAGTCCTCAGAGCATTTCTTGGTGACCTGAATGCACACCTTGTTGGGATGACCAGACTTCCTAAGATCCCATACCCAAATCCCTGTAAATTTCACCTGCTCTTTTGATCTTTCTGAGCTGTACTGGATTTTCTAAATGTTTTAAAAGTGAAACCTTTCTACCAGGATGAGCAAATGTCACAATGGCCTCTGTAGATGCTGCAATTTATAACTCCCCCCCCCCCTTACTTTATTTTATTCTTATCAAATTTGTCCTTCTAAAAGACTTTTATTTACTGCTGATTTGCTGCTTTGAAGTCCAAAAGCAAATATCTTTCTATAGAGCTTCCTGCATATGGTATTTTTTATTCTGGAAGTTCTTTGCAAACAAGATGTTGTTATTGTTGTTCTTAATATTATTACAATTCCTTTGAGTTTTTAGTTTTTTTGTTTGTTTTTGTTTTTTTTTTTGGTAAGGAAAGAGATCATATCAAGAATAATTTTTTTGTCTTAGGAATTCCAATTATTTGATGCATCATATCATCATATCATATCATATCATATCATATCATATCATATACCATAGTGATGTGATCATGCCCTAAGAAGGGCACAAAAAAGAAAGTTTGATAAAATTGACCCATACAGAAGATTACATTTATTGATCAGCTCCCTACTGTGCAGAGGGAAGCAGTGAGTTTGGATATTGCTTGCACAGCAGGGGAGGGAAGATGTTGAGGTTCTTTCTGTTCCTACCTAACATCTTTACTCGAGAGTAATTCTTGTATTCCACAGAACCTGGAGTCCCCAAAGAACAGTCTGCTGTCTGGAAGCCTCATTCCCTACCAATGAGTGGAAAGCAGAGCTGGCTGCCTGCTGAGCAGTGAGGTGAGGAGAGAGATGCCCCTTTTCTTCCTCCATGGAGAGAATACTAGCTCTCCTTTGACACTGCTGCTGAGATGGGGACAGTGTCCAGGACTACCTCAACTTGCAATTTGTATAGTTAAGTAGTCACATATTTTAAAGGAAAAAAATACCAGGAAGGTTCCAGAACTCCTGGTGTAAAGGAAAATTGGACAATGTAAGCCCTGAGGGTTTAGTCAGTAAGGCAATTATTTTTGATAAATTAACTAACAAACAAAACAGCAGTACTTTTGAATGTCATAGATTTTGGTGGATAAATGAGGACAAGAAAGGGGGAAAAGAAAAAGAAGAAAAAATCTGAGTTTGGCACTCTTTCACCCTGCTCCCGAAGGCTACACTGTTTTGAAGAAACTCCCCATTGCATGTTGTGGTTTTGTACGTATAGGACAGAACTACAAATGAAAAGTGACTTTCCTTTCCTTAATGATCCTTAAAAACAGACCATTAAGAATAAAGAAGTGGCTTCTTCTCCTGCCTTGCATATAGAATTGGAGCCAAGGGATCTGATTTTTCCATTATGTATCTAGAATATTTTAAAAAATTTTGAAAAATTGTCATTTTAGCTGTTTCCTAATGTGCATATAATAATTACCTGATAAGGTGTTTTCTTCAGTGCTGTTAGTTTATTTCAACAAGGTGTTTGAAGAGCCTCAGACATTTTTCCCTTTGTTGACTCATTAGCACCAAAGTGCCATTTCTAAAAGGTTGTTTATAAAATCCCAAGAAAAACAGAATTTGTTATCTGCAGACATTGAAAAGAGATAATTAAGAGGGGTTGTGAATATGTCAAAGTACTTTTTTTTTTTTTTTTTTTTTTTTGGTGGCTATGAGAGATCATAAAAAAAATTGGAATATGGCTAGAAAGAAGCAAATTATTTTTGGATAAGAGATGAGAAGATTCACACTAGCAAAATCAAAGCATGGTGAGTTCATCTTTTCCTACATATAAGAATGAAATTGTCATAATTTATCTGTATTTATTATGAAAAATCTTCAGCTTCTTTTTAGCCCCTTCTTAAGAAAAGTCATTACAAATATTCTTGAAAGCAATAATGTTTAAAAAAAAAAAAAAAAAAAGCAAAAGAAAGCAAACAAGAAATAGACAAAAAAAATCCAGACTTTAAGTTCTAATCTTCTGTAATACACAAGAAAATTTTTCTTGTGATTTTCTTGGTTATACAGATAGACAAGAGAAAAATAAATACAGCTTTCAGATCTCTGAGGTCATATTGCTGTTTCCAGCCAGTGTCTGAATAGCGGACATAGCAAAATATATACAATTGCAAACGAGTGATATACATACATAAATATTTGATTATTCACAAAGGAATTGCTTCATTTCTAGCATTTCACATTTGTATGTGTACCTTTGGAGGCATTTTCAGCAATCTAACAGGCTTACCACTACCAATATTTTTAAGGTCAAAGCTGCTGAAACAAACAAACAAAAAACACTTCAAACAAAATGTCAGAAGCCTATTCAGACACTCCATTGGCTTACTGGGGAAAATGCAAATATTTCAAAATAGCACTGACCCATTTAGTGTCTGTGATATATCACTATTCATCTTTTTGAACTTACAGGTGAGTATAAAATCCAATTTATTCTTAAGCTATATGAAATAAATGTTATTTGCAGAGCAATAACTCACACTGCATATTAAAGTGATTTCCTCCATTTATTGCTTCTCTGTTTTTTTACACTGCAGAAGACAAGGTAAAACAGCCTATAGAAACAAACAAAATGTAACAAAACCATTTGTTTCTTTTCCATTCTTTTGCAGTTAAATGTAGGCTGTGAAGAGTAAAAATAAATAAATAAACATAATGTGCAATTAAACTTGGCAATGCATTATATTTGACTGTAAAAACTGTTAAGTCCTTGGAGCTTTGAGAGCTTTGGATAACTCTGTGTGGTTATGACAGCATATATGAGTAAGTTTTAATTAAATTAGTGATTACACTCTCTGCCATGGTGTGATACATAACACAAACTATAAGCCGCATTTTTAACCTGCAAGTAAGATCATCTTCAACCTTCAGAAAGCAAAGAAAATAAGGAGTTCTTCAGCCTTAAACAAAACATGCAGGATCATCTGAAGACTTTGACTGTACTCCAAGGGGGCAGAAAAATTTGTCTACTACAAAGCAGATGTGCAAACATCAGAAAGCAGGATTTCTACAAAGCAGCTTACTTTTGACACTGAATAATTGATCTACCTGTCAAAGTGCAGTGGTAGGTTTGACCTCAATGCTAAGCTAGTGAGAGACATGCATCTAATTTTATGCACGTTTTAATTTTGGTAAAACCTGTCAGGTAAAGTACATGTGACCTAAGGAATGTTTACAGAGACCAATCTATAACTGCAAGTACTTGAGTAATGGATGGAACTGTTATTTCTTGTGCAACTATTTTTCTGAAACTTGCTCCTCGTAAATGGATCTATGGCATGGAATGGATGTTTTATTGTTCATGCTCCTGAAGTTTATAACAAGGCTATCCTACAGGCTAATGGCAAAATAAGCTATGATCAGACACTGTAGCAGAATGTAAGCCAAGAATATTCAGCTTTTTAGCAGAGTGGTGCTTACTTTCCAACTGATATATAGATTCATTTAGAAGTGTAGGACATCTAGCACAAATGCCTCAAAACTTACATGTCTGAAATTTCTTCCTTACTTGCCCTTCTTGGTTTTCATAGAAATCCATGCACCCTGAAGATTACAGGTAGAAAGCTTCTCTATTATGTTCAATTTTTTAAAAAAAGCATATAATTTCTTTTAAATTTATTAATCAGATCATGGAATTTAGCTAACAAACGGAAATAATTATCTCATTCAGTTCCATATAGATACTAAGCTCTTAAAATCCATTGGATTTAAGATTAATAGAAAATCTGAATTTAGAGAAAAATCCGCAGATTCACTTGCTTGATGCTATAGTACTACACATATGAAATAATTCTCATACTAAAATATTAATTTCCAGATGTGAAGTCTACTTGAAAAAATAATCTTTGTTCCTAGGTGAAATGATGCTTTGTTCAGGTTAGCTGTAATTTTCAGAAAATAGGTGTGCATCAATATTTTAGAGACCAATTTTACTCCTTATTCCTCTTGTTCCAAGCAGAAACAACTGTTGGATTATGATTTTATTACTTTTCTTCTTAAAAAAAAAGCAAGCAAACAAGGAAAAAAACCCCAGGATTTTTAGAGAAGAATTTCATTTTTCCTTATATTTGCTGGAACTGAGGGACATTTTTCCTAGGTTTCATTGCTCAAGAAATCAAAACAAACAAGCGAACAAACAAACAAATAAATAAAATGAGACTTTAGATATTTGTTGTTATATAATTCCCACAAGATGTACAATTATTAATTGGTTTATTGTGCTTTAGTTACTCTTGCAAATGGGGATGTAAAGTTTTAAATCCATTAAACTTCTTTTTTCTCTTAGCTTTGCACAAAGATCACTCTTCGTGTGGCACTGTGTGAGGCAGACCAACTAACAGATGTCAGAAGTGTGCCATAATGGAGATGATTTTCTTCTAAATCTGTTTTCCACAGTTATGTTGTAACTGAAAAACAGAATTTCTTTACCTAGGGATTATGTGAGAGTTTTAATAACTATCTCAGACTGTAAGTGGTTTGACTCTTTAACTGTCAGAAACAGTCACTTCGAAGTGTACAGCTCTATATTTGTTAATCTGTCATAGCAAATTTTTTAGCAAGGATTAGTCCCCAAGTTCAACCGTTGAAGGTAGGTTGAAGCAATGCTTTAACAGTTATTAACTATCAGGCTCCTCAAACTGCCTCTTTATAAGAACTTTCTCCTTCACTGCAATGAGCAATAATTGAAGCCATAGAAACAATACTGGGTTAAAGTATGAGAAGAGATCTGATGTGCCTCTGTTAAACAAAACAAAAAAAAATTTTGGGTAAAATTCATGCTTTGTATTCATACAATATTTTACACATTAAAACATCTTATTAGTGGAGAAAATGACTTAAATAAGTACTAAAAAATATAGTTGTGTGGGCTGAAATACTCAATATCAGGTAAATACAATGCAACTAATAGACAAAACAGAAGCAGAGTCCTGTATTCCATCTGCTTCCCCCTCCTCAGAGGCTGCAAGGAGCAATGTGGTCACCTGTCAGCCCCCTCTACTCTGTAAGCCCAGGTGTTTTCAGCCTCTCATCACAGGACATGCATTCCAACCCTGTTACTAGCTCTTCTGCCTTCCTCTAAATGCTTTCAAGGATGTTAACATCCTTTTTCTATTGTGGAACCCAGAACTCCACACAATACACAAGGTGAGGATGCACCATTGCCAAATATTGCAGGAGAATCACCTCTTTTGATGCAAAAATTCTTACCAGGCAAGAATCTAGGATTCTCAGATATTAGTTTGGACATTAGTAGCTGTTGCTACCCTACAATGTGTTTTCATTTAAGAAGTCATATAGATGTTTGATGACCAGTTTGAATACAGAACTAAGATTTTGCCTCCATACAAACACTATGATCCTTGTTCCTTGTTTGCTGTGGCATTTCCTTCCACCTCCCTGTCCACTGAAATGTAAAAATATATCATTTCCATTTATTTTTATTTTTTAGTTTTGTTTTGAGGTATAAACTGGTAGAGGGGAAGCAGTGAATTTAAGAAAACACCAGGAAATTATGCTTTTTCACTGTTTCTTTTCTAAAATCACCGTAACGCAGATATTTATTTATTTCACATGACTGTTTTCATTATTGCTTCTTTTGTACTTTCCCTTCCTTCAGCTGATGGACAAATACTTTGCATGTAACAATTATGATTGTTATGCTGCTGAGTGTATATATAGTGCTGAGCCTCATATTACAGAGCAGTGATATATGCCCAAGGAAGTTAAAACACTGTTTTCAAGTTTGGTTTGTGGGCTTAATTGTCTTAAGAATAGCATTTTATAATCAATCACATGAATGTCCATTTATAAAGAGAAAAAAATGGAAAAATAATGGGAAAATCTATTTTGGAAGGGATCTCTGGGAAGCATCTGCCACAACCTTCTGTTGAAAGGAGAGATTTATTCAGTCTTATCAAACTGAGTCTTGAGTACTTGTAACAGGGAGATTCCTTTGTGTAGCCTATGCAAATCCTCAATTCTTCTCATAGTGAAAGATTTCTTTTCTTATATACAAACTACATTTCCTTTGAAGTAACTTATGCCTATTTTCTATTCTCTTGTTGCCATTAATCTTCATGAAGACGGAATCTCCATCTTCTCTTTTAGGTATTGGAAAACTGTAATTAGCTCATCCTTGAACTTTTCCTTCACAGATCCTCCAACTTTTCGTCTTATGTCAAGTTTCCAATGCAATAAACACTTAGCTGGCACTCTGCTGGGCCCTCTCCATTTTTTTCCCAGTGTCTTCTGAGCCAAGGTAGTGAAAACTGGACACAGGATTCTGAGTGCAGACTAACAAAATATGATCAACATTAGAATTACTGGCAATTGTAGCTCTTGTTAAGTAACTTAACAAGAATTAGTACTTTGTTAGTTTTAAATATCAAGCTTTCAAAACCTGAACATTAAGGTGAATGCTTACAAGAAAAAGCAAATTCATCTGCAAACAGTAGGAAGACAAAAATTCACTTCTATATCATAAATTCAGTTCAATTTTTCTTTATTTTTTAGGTATAAATAGCAGTAAGAGAAAAAAGAGTGAAGTTCTATTTCCGGTGAATACAATAACTCTTGGCTGGTAAATTTTTATCCATGCCTTCTATCTCAGGTGAGGTTCTAGTAGCTATTATTCAGCATTTTTACTCAAATGTTGAGAATGACAGTTTCATACTATATATTGTAAAATATGTAATGTGAAAGAATTTAGCAATTATGTGAGTATGAATGTATAAGACAATTTTGTGATTACATAATAGACATAAATGAGAATATAAATAAGGAACTTACAGATTGAAAATTTTGGGTAGGTGTTCAGAGACTTCTGTGCCTGAACAGATGACTAATTGATACGTACATAATAAATGTACATATTAAAAAGTACTCAATTACTCCTTCCTCTTATGTCTTCCTTCTTTGCTGTTGGCACTCATCTTCCACAGCCTACACAACAGAGGAGAGCTTGCTATAAGGAAAAATGTTTTCTGTTTTCCAGGGCAGCTATTGGCACAGGCTGCCCACGGTAATGGTGGAGTAGTGGCCTCTGGAGGTTTTCAAGAGAAGGGCAGAGGTGGCACTGTCAGACATGGATTAGTGGTTGTGGAGTATGGCACAAACATTGCCTGCTGAAGAAGGGGAGATGTCGTGCAAGACTGGAGAACGGGATGGGGTATAGTTTTGTCAGCTGTCCTCTGGTTGATGACAAGAACTGCCCCTAGCAGTGCAGACCTGATAAGGCTACAGCTGTGCCTCCATCACATTTAATAAATTGTTATGGTGCATTTGACCTGTGTCAGTGAAGTACACTGTAGTCCTTTCTTCTCACTGGGTGAAAAAAAACAGGGCATGAAGTGGGACAGTGGACTTGATGGTGATGGGTTGGACTGGATGATCTTACTGATCTTTTCCAGTCTTGATGATTCTATATAAAAAAGGCTATTACTTCAGAAAGGTTAACATAAATTAAAAATAAATAAATAAATAAATAATCAGAGAGGTGAAATTCAAGCTGTTTATTCACTTAGGGATAGTCGTTTCCTAACCTGAACTACTTGTGACATTTTTACTTGGATATAGAGGGAAAAAAAAGCTGAAAAATTAACTCCATGTGAAAGCAATTCTCCTTCTTGCTACACTTTAATAATACAGTTAGCAAAATATTTTGATTTTCCTTTCTTCTGGGGATGCCTCTGTCAGAGCAGCAGTGAGAGGGTTAATTTGCATGTTCCTACTCTCCTTTTCTTACGCTCATGAATCTTTCAGATATTAGGATCCTTTAGACTTACTATGTCTTAGTAATATTTCTGTAAAGTATCCTTGTCTAGAGAAACCTTATATTATGGAAGACTACACTGATTATAGTCTTCTAATGATCTCCAAGAATTCTCTCAGCCTTCCTGTTTGGAAAGCTAATATGTTACATTGAAAGTCCCACTGTTTTGTCCCAGCGTTGTGGTATTGTGATTTTTGTTGTTGGCATTCCGCATCAGAATGTAAAACAATGGGGGTTAAGAGATAATGTTCTGGTTCCGTGGACTACCTTTTTTGGAATTTTTGGGTTCTTGGAGAGGAGGTGAGGAGCAGCATTCCCAGAGGACTGACTGATGCACAGAGGAAGAAAGATGGATGTCCTGGCAGAACACCAGCTGTTCTCCCTTTCACGGACTTGCTCTCTCTTGGTTTGTTGTGGAGAAAAGCATGTGCTTCCTCTGCAGTCTACTAACATAAGACCTCATGTTTGGACACTCATTTCTCTCTCACTTCGTTTGATTTTGTTGGATTTAGTAAACTGATGTTGCTTCTCAGATCATTGCCCTTGTTTTTTGTCTGCTATCTCCCTAAACTTCACCCTCTCCCTGTCTCTCAGAATCTATGGCCTGCAAGTACCTTGCCTCATTAGTCACAGGAGCGGGGGCTGGTCATGCCCCGCTAGAAAAGGGGAACTAATTTTATTTTCCCCTCTCTTTTGTCTCCTTCCGTGTCTGTGCCCCTGTCACGGACTCATATCTAGAGATAACTCCATGAAACCCAACATGAACATTTTTAGAAGGGGATTATCTACTGAGTTTTCTGAAATGGATATTCAGCTTTATTTGCAGATCTCTGTAATGCAGTGGCATCACACAGATGCTTACAGAACCCTGTAAGTGTTGTAAATCTGAACTTTCATCTACGTAGCACATGAATTTGTACATGCTGAAATTTAATCTGGAAAGTGCTGTGTGGAAACCACAGAAAAGTGAACTGATACCTGACCAGAAATCAATAACCTGCATCAATTCAAGTGGATGCTATAGGTTCTGCAAAACCCTATTACATAATTCCCTGATAAAGGAGTAAATTTGCTGAGTACCAAAGCTTTCTGCTTAAGAGGTCTCCTCTGCAATTTGCCTTATCTGTTACCTAACTGAAGTGATGAAAAACAGAAAGCAACATTTTCTGTTAGTTTATTGCTTTGGCTCAGGGATTCTCATATTAGAGTTAACAGCCACTGAAAACAGCAGGTGGTTATTTCCAATGGAAATGAGCAGCTACTAGACTGGAGGATCCTCATTTACTTAAACCCTGTGCAGCACTTCTAGGAATATTATAAACTGTGGGGTCTTTCTCATTTGTCCTTGTTTTAGCTGACATTGTCATTCCTGACTATACTATGAGTGTAAATGATGATCTAATGTCACTTCTATAATTACTTGGCACCCTGAATAAGCCTTAATCCCCCTGGGTCAATAACAGCTCTCAGTTTGACAGTCAATAAACAAGGTTCTGAGGATTGCTGCAGTTTCACTTTTTTTTTTTTTTTTTTTTTTTTTTTCCCCTTGCTGGTGCGTTTAGTAAATGCTGTTATGCTGTTCAGGAACGCTTCAGGACCACTGAGGAAAAAAGCTTTTCAACTCTTACAAAGGCTTCTAACATGTAACATGCCCAATTCATCTCCAGTGGAAGAATTGAGAATGACTTCAAAGGAAACAAGGACCTCAATTTAAGATGCTTCTCTGAACACGGTCATGAATGACCTGTATGTTAAAGCCTCTCTGTATGCCTCAACTTTTTTGGAAGAACTTGCCTTTTGTTGCTGTTGCGATCTAACCAGGTGAATCCAAGTCATTCAGTCATGAAATAAAACTAACTTTGTTATGCTCTCTGTCCTCAGATGGCATCCAACAAGGACAAATCAAATGTTGTTGCAACACTAATGCCTGTGCATTTTTCTGCTGATCTTAAGACCACAAAATAATTGCTGCTCAGTGACTATTCAAGGCTTACCTTCACAATGACTGTCTAAAGGTCACATTGACCATACGTTTAATTGTAAGTTCTCCTATTTCCTTCACATTTATCATTATGGGAAAAATACCTTCTTTACTTGTGCAGTATTTTATCATAAATAAATTCAGGTACCATTGGTCTAAGAATTAAAAAGCATCTAGCTATTCCATTTATGCCAAGCCCAAGAAAGACTTTATTGGATGGGAGGACTAATTATGCTGCAACCAGACACAGCAGTCACTGCAAAAATGACATAAATTGGGGTTATGTTGAGGAGGTTGAGAAGCAAATGATAAATAAATGGCAATGGTAAAGAAATATGCCAAATCTTCTGCATGAAACGAAAATTTGCAACTTCTTGAGTGATTTAGCCTTTCAACGGACTTACATGCCATAGAAACTCTGATTCATCTTGACTTCTAATCCATACAATTGTGTTGAACACAGAAAAACAACAGTATGCATATAAATGCACGTATATATACTCATGAAGGAGAAGGGAAAGAGAGAAAGAGAAAGTAACACCAACAAAGTGATCAAAGAGAAGACGGAGAAAAATATTCTAACGGATGTGGGACAGATCCTTTTTTCAGTCTGAGATCAGTAGTCTTCCATTAGTAGAAGGCAGGAAATAAAGTTACAAAATCTTGAAATAATTATTTTTGTTTTCAAATCTCTCATATTTATGTTATTTATATTTCTTGTATATCATCACATTCAGTATTTATTTGTATTTCTTGTACACATATCTAGATAGCTTTGGAGTCAATGGCTGAAAGTCGGTATTATAAAGAGTCAGCTGTATCACTTTCAGAAAAACTATGCCTGCCTACTAGAAATTAAAGTATGAGGGCTAATTCATATTTGCCTAATTGAAAATCTGTTCTTTGAGAGAGCAAGCTTGTGCAGATTCTAAAAAGAAATACCTTAATATATTACATTCAAACACAGATGAAGTGTTCATTAACACACTGAGAAAGTTAAAGGTAAAATTATTGTCACAGAGACTAGGAGAAGGAAAGGGAGTTGTTTTCTTTTGATTGCTTTTCTAAGTATCAGAGACATCCTGAAGTCCCATGTTTAGGGAGCTTGCTGATCTACAGATAGTTTCCTGGGTAGTTTAGAAGATAGTCTTGGGACTGTTAGAAAAAAATGCATTGAATTCTTTTGCCCAAGATTCTTTCCAAAGTGAATAAACATTTAAAACTGTGAAAATAATTTCTGTGCGCAGTTAGATAACGAACGGGACAGAAAAACATTTCTAACACTCTTAGGAATAAAAAACTGCTACTTTAACTCATATGTATCATATGTAATAAAATCCTTAAACTTTTTGCTGCCAAAGTACCCATAGCTTTAGACTCCTCTTATTGGCATCTCTCCCTGTGGCTGAGAGTTAAGATTGCCATACCTGTAGTTTCACGACATTTCCACAATAGAAGAAAAAAAACAGCAACACACCTTTATTTTTCTACATATCAGTAAAAGAATCTCTATGGGAAACCAAATACAACAGGAGAAATAAGTGGGAAAAATAGAAGTGTAAATAGCTTTCATTATTATTTTGTCCCTTCAAATAATCACATTACATTTCTTGATCGGTGTTCTGGCAGGAACCTTGCACAGGCATTCAAAGACTGACTCACACAGAAAGTGCAAAAAGAAATCTGTGAGGAACTGGGAGATTCCACCAATGGAGGTAACAGAAGACTGACCTTCTGAAGGAAGATCAGAGCAGTGATAGAAGAAGAGGAGACACTGCTCCAGGACACCACAAGCCAGCACCAACAGGCTATAGATAATTGAATAGAACGGCCTCCAACTGGTGGTTGTTTTGGTATGCAGTAAAAACACATATAATAATATGTGTTGAAATATTATTTGGGTTTTCTTTTCAAAGAACCATCAACAGCAGTACTGCATATACGGTTTTTACTTAACATTCAGACTGCACAAATAATAAAATATTTTTTTATAACATAAAACTTAGTGATTTTTTTAAAGTATATCTTAGTCTAACAGCTTGACAACTGACTAAAAAATACCCATCTTGAACACTGGTTTGTCCGTGTCCAACTGTTATCTCCCTGAAAAGGCACCCCTCTACAGACATGGAAGTATACTGAAATGCCAAGAGTATTGGTCTTCATGATATCTAGACTCCCTTGAGGCTTTTCCCAAAGAAAGATCTTGCTGAATTTTCCCAGATAGTAGCTGAAATTTTCCTTGCTGTTGTCCAGATCATCATTGTTCAAACAACGAAACCATAAATTGCTTTGTTCAGAATTATTGCTGTTATTTTTATACATTTAGTATATGAATCCAAGAAAAGATTTTTCTCTTGAAAAAGTCTTGTAGATGTGAGGACCATTCATCTTTCCGTATCAGCCAGTGATGTAAGTGTAATACTCCAGGTTGCTCACTGGTGCCTGCATAAATTCAGAACAGTTTTGTTGGCTTTTTTTTCCCTGTATTTACATGTACAGACATGACTGGAAAAAGGATGGGGATATGATAAACACCCCATTCAGGCAAGCTGCTGTGCCTAGCTCCTCCACAGAACTCAGTCCTCCACATATGGAGCTATCTTTCCATAATTAGTTGGTGACTGCTTGCGCTCAGAATGTTTCAAACTTCTCCTAGAGAAACTATATGATTATGTCTTACACAGGTATGTTGTTCACTGGGTGGCTGGGTTCATTGCAGTGAATGGATTTCAATCCAGTAAGTGGCCAGCCACAAGTGACATTCCTCAGGGGTTAGTGCTGGGGCCAATTTTGTTTAATATTTTTATCTGTGATCTGTATGAGGGGGTTGAGTGCACTCTCAGTAAATCTGTAGACAGCATCAAGTCAGATGAGACTGTTGAGTTTTTTGAGGGTAAAAAGTTTCTGTAGAGGGATATAGATGAGCTGGATTGATGGGCCACATCCAGTTGCATGACATTCAACAAGGCTATGCA